CTGAAAAATTCCCATTCGAACATTAATAGACAGAAGACAAGTAGTTCAGCGAAGAGTCTCTTTACAGGCGGCGAATTCATTTTCATAGCTGTACAATCGCAAATATATATGGTTGTTTTGTATGTGTGTGTACATTAAATTTGTCAAACGAAAATACAATTATTAAGTTCAGGTGAATTAAGTGTTGATATAAGAGGGTAGTAACAAAAGTGATGAGTTGTCACAAATGATTGTTAAAGAAGAGTTACATAATAAAATGAATAGTTTAATGAAAGAGATGTACTCAGGGTGTACGTGGAAACAAAATATACGGAATTACACAAGGGTTTTGAGTAGAAAAATAAGCACACAAAGAAAAGTTAAGTTAAATCAACACAGTTGTTACCATGGGAGTAGAAATGGTTGAATAATTTTCTTTAGTATGCACAGTTCTGGTTCCTCTAGCTTAATGGCTAGGGCCTCTGCGATGCGAAGAAGACGGAATCGTACTGTCTTTAGAAGGTTGTTCTTCACTTTGTAGATTATTTCGAAGGAGGCGATTGTTGAGATGGAATGACCAGTGTTGACGAGGTGTTCTATTATTGCACTCCTTATGCAGCCATTACTTCCTTTCTGCAGTCACACTAAATAGTGTTTTTTGACCCTTTTTGACAGGATACGCGTTGAACGACCGATGTACCTGGCTCCACAGCAACAGGTGAACTGATATATACACATAGAAGTGGTCAGGTGCGGGATCTTGTCTTTTGGGCTTCTGCAGATCAGCGGGCGACTAGAGAACACTACTCTCAATGTTGCCGCAAAGAAAGTTCTTCTTAAAGAGGTGGAGATTCTCCTTCTAAGGACGTCACTGAATAGGTCTCCTTTGAAGTCGAGGTTCATATAAAGTATCTTTTTTGGCACAGATGCTGTTTCTTGCTTTTGGACTTTTTGTTTGTTGTTTTTGTCTACGAATCTTGATGGGTGACCGTTTTGTATGAAGGTTTCTTTCAGAAAGTTTAGTTCTTCTTGCATGGTATCAGAGCTGTACATGTGTCGGACGCTAGTGGCAAGAGATCTAATTAATTTTCTTTTCCGACTGATTGGTACCCAGCTGTAGAATTGAACTTACTAATTGTATTTTCGTTTGACAAATTTAATGTACACACACACAGAAAAGAACCATATATATTTGCGATTGTACAGCTGTGAAAATGAATTCGCCGCCGAAAAGAGACTCTTCGCTGAACTACTTGTCTTCTTTCTATTCCTTTATTATGGAAAACAACAAAAACAACAAGCACCGATCACTATCAACAGGAAACATTTGAAGGGAATCACTTCTTTCACTTGTCTAGATAGCATTGTTTCAATTACAGACGGTGCAACTGAAGATGTGAAAAGTATAATCAGAAAAGCAAGACAAAAAATCTTCATTGTTCTATGGTTAGCATGAAAATTTACTGCATTTAGCATAAAGAAGAAAAATTCGGATTTTCGCTACTAATGTCAAGTTAATCATTGTTTAAATAAAGCAACAACAACAGTGGTTTGTGCAGAACAATATGGTACCATCATTGATTTCGTCGGCTTCTCATCAGCTGCTTACAGCCTAAATAAAATGTAAGGTTTACGTACACATTTGTTCCGTACGATTTGTTCCTATGCGATTCAGAGACTTGGTGCATACGTCATGAAATGCATTTACAAACACAGACTGCTGAAAACTTTCACTAACAACTGCCTTCTGTGGCTCCATACTGAAGATCAGATGATCGGCCAGAATGGGTAAGCAGGCAAAAAAGAATTCCGGGAACGAATCAAACAAGAATCTTAAGAAAATAGAGATGGGTCAAACACACGCTGAGCAGACTTTTGAATAGCATACCATTCTAGGCTGTATAGTGGAACCTGATTAGGAAACAATGGTTTGGGCGTCTGAGGATGATATAGAGAAAATCTTATGAGGAGGAGATGACAGCTTACAGGTCACCGTGGAGCCAGCTAAATAAGGGGCAGTAAAGTACAAAGTGAAGTGTAGATGTGTTGGTGAAGCCTTATATTCCACTCTGAGCCCAAGGGAGTAGTAATAATAAACTGAAAATCTTCCACAAGTTTGACTACTGCATTCAGTGGTCAACCCCTCTCATCTTGGATAGTGAAGCTCTGTTAGTTTTATTGCTGGAAAAAGGTCAGTAACTATATTTATTGTTACTTAGATTTACTATCTATTCTATTCTATTGCTAATTTCACCTTTTATTGTTAACTTCAATCCTAAACGGTTATAAGTAAAACATAAAACGAAAATTAAAGTTGGAATTTGAATTGATAGAGATAATGTGTAGCCCAGGTGGATGTTTTCAGTGTTGCTGCATTCTCTTAGCTGTATGATTTAGCTGAGAAACTTCCATCGTCCTTCTCTTTATGAATGAAACGATCCTCTCGTCTAGGGTTCTTGACAAGGAGTGATGGTCTTCAGTGATTCTCCTATCATTGCTATTGGCCAACCTCTGAAGACAACCAATCAAAGACTGGAGGTCATCTGCAAAAGACGGCTGTCTCATTCATATAGAATTCCAAAAGCTCGCTTGACTGTGAAACTAGCTGTGAAGATGCTGTGTGATGATCCAGGCCTGGAAAGGATAGGCGTCAGTTTACAAAAGGGTATCCGGTGGTCTCCAGAAGCCTAACTCATCTCTTTGACGGCTTGCCGAGTTCTGTAATATGCAATGCAGAAAATCAGGGATCAAACACGCTATAGAAAACCATAAATGAGAAGCAGAACATAGGTGACGGTCTAAACATTTTACCAATAATAATAAAAATCATGATACAAGGAGAACAGTCAAGCTCATAAGGCGAAAAGAGCTAGGCTACTCGGGACCACCAGATATCCTCTTTTAAACTGACGCCTTTCCTTCCAGGACCTAGTTCCCTGCAGCTATTAAAACAGACAGGGAAATCTGCTCACTCGAACTATTCAAATGGGAGAACGCACTAATATCAGGAGATCATCTTTAGATTTTAAAATTAATTGTTATGTATTATAGCATCAGTAAGAAGTGAAACTGACAGTCTAGATATTTAAGCTATATTGGATTATTTCACGAATGTTAAGAGATTTTAAACAAACGATTATTTTGTAAAAGTAGTAGTGTTTTAACTCTGCGAAATTCGAGCAAAGAGATGTACAAGATGTGTATCACATTTGAATTCAGAAACCTAGTGGAGTGTAGAGGAGGAAAGTGAACTTTTTGAGTCGGAACACATTCATGAAAACGCTGTCCAAAGTGAGAAAGACCATACATTGTCACTGACGGATGTAGTTATGTTTATACCATCAAAAGAGGTGACAGACAGTAATGTGTTAACACTAGTCAACTTCAGAGATATGGATACAATGGGATAAAGAAGTCTGCCCCACGGCACAATAAGAGCCGGTAATACCAAGAAAATCGGAGCGGCTGCGCCTGGTACTTTTGTTTCGGGGGACTAGTGTGGTGAGTACTACTGACAAGAATGTAAGATTAGTTTACTGCGGAGGGATGGATTAAGCTGTGTAGAGGAGAAATAACGGGGTCGTTATCAGACCATAAAGAAAGAATGAGAGGAAGGCATAAGAAACACAATACAGAGAACTCGTGCAAGTGGAAATTTCAATGCGGGTGTTTTGCATTTTGCCGTCCTTGAAAATCATTCGTTAAGTATATAATTCTGTGCCCTGCCACTGTGCTATCAGTAGACTTCATTTGAAATCATTTATTGTACTACATCAATTTATTGGTCAGTCTGGAGAGTGAGCTAATTATAAATATCGTCACTGGGCGTTGTCTGTTTGCTTAGAATATATATATATATATGTATATATATATATATGTATATATATATATATGTATATATATATATATGTATATATATATATAATGCGTTGGTTTTTAGTGAGGAAGTTGATATTTATAGTCTCATCCGTTTTCGAATGTAGCAATATACATGTCACTGAAATACTGTTGTAACTTGCTCTTCTTCTTCTCAGTCAGAGTTAAACATGTCTGTCTGTTTGTTTTCGACATAGAACTTTGCACACATGTGCGACAGTTCAAGTCACCACACTCCCTCCATGCAGCACACAAAGAAAGAGAAGAAAGTAGGAGAAATGCACATTTGAGACAGTAAACGGAGGTGTGAGACAAAGGAATAGTAATAACGAAGAACAAAACAGTTTCATTGGAAATCATAAGTCCCAAGGAGTGGATACATCTGCGCCACTGAGAAAGATTTTGAGCCATGTCACCAATTGTTTCCAACCATTGGTTTTTACCGTCCCGAGGACCGCAACCAATCACCTTCCTACGTTGCTTAGACTAACTGTTGTAGATTTCATTGACTGGTGCTATGTTTTGGTTCGACCACCGCTAGCTCTTTTCCATCCTGGTCCTATATCAGCTAACATCGCCTGTCGAGGCAGGCGATGACTGGGCATACGTAACACATGTCCTAACCATCTGGGGCAGAGTTAAACATGCAATTAATTGTCTAAGGAAGATTATCGAAATATATTCACAGGACAATAAAGCATAAATAATCATTTATCTTCCCGTACCAAATGACGTTTTCCAACTATGAAAGTGTTGGGATTTCATGTTTTCCAATGTTCGCTTGGAGCGATCTGACGTCAGTAAGAGAACCACTGAAAACCATAAGGGAGTACTGGACAGTTAGCTTTGTTCTAGACTAAGACCCTTCAGAAGTGTGCACACATGATCCCACTGGCGGTAATATATTTTCTTCTTCTCCTTCCAAGTGGATTACAGGGCTTCAAGCAAACGGGTTTCCGTAGCAGCGTTGTTGTTTTTGCTGTTTGGGGTTGCCAGATCAACCTTCCCTCTTTTCTAGCTTTACTGGGCCAGTTTTGAGAGGGCTTCAAGCAGCAGTCAAATCTTAACCATGTGTGTGTGGGTGTGGCTAGTGAGTATTGTACCACTGAACCCTTGATGCTTATGTATACATTGAATCTGACATCATGGATTTCAAAAGGAACTTTATTTCATTTTATTTAGCTTTACAATTTACTTTTGTTCATTTCATATACAATAGTAAAATGAAGGGAACCAGCAGTGTAAACACTGAAATATAAATCTGATAACATAATAATAATAATAGTAATAGCATTATTTTTCACTTGTCCCTAAAATCCATGAAGCGTAATCGGAACAAAGAATACACAGTAGAAAGAATAAGCTCTCCTATGAATAAGCAGACGAAATGGGAAAACAATGGTCAATAGAATAATTCCTAATATAAGCACCTTTTAATACACCTAGAGAAGATACATGTGTTAGTAGTCAGCAGATGTTGCTTCAATATCTCTTACTGTAAAGATGTATATTACTATTTATTATTGTAAAGCGTACTGGAAAATGAAAATGTCTGATCATTTAAAGCAGATTATATTCCATCGATCTCCTCGTTTTGTTTTAATTTGTCTACTTTCGTTAGGAAATATTCGATGAAAACACAAACATAATAAATAAACATGAAGAAGACAATGCTATTGAATAGATGCTAAGCTCCACCGATCAGCAGTGTTGATACCAGTACTCGTATTCAAAGCAATAATAATAATGATAATTATCCCAGCAGTTGATCAATTCCAGTTCTCAACGTGAAGTTGTATTGAACTGTGTGAAATAATCTGCAGTAGGTTGATTTGTATATAACTAAAAAAGGAAGAAGAGAAAAAAAGGAACACTAACTAGTGAAAATTAAAAGTAAATAAAAGTAAATTGTATACAAATGACCATCCTTAATCTTCATATTATTATTATTACTGTTCCCTTGAGTTCCGAGTGGAACACGGGGCTTCAACAACACATCTCCACTTTCTTCTATTGTCTGCTGTCCTCTTTAGCTGTACCCAAGTCTGCCATAATCTCTCATGTCCTCTTCGCCACACGATCTCCTACATGTCACCGTCGCACCGACAACCCACTCGTCGTCTCCCATTCATGCTCCACTCGAGCGATGGCCTGCCGAGCGATGTCATTCGATGGTCTCCTCAGCGTATGTCCAATCAATTTCCATTTTCTCTTACATATATGTTAAACGAGAGGTTCTTGGTTGGTTTATTCCCATATATTTTCTTGTTGTTGATTCTTCCTGGACATTTGATCTTCAATACAGTGCGAAGGCAGCTGTTGATAAAAGTTTGCAGTGGCCTGTTTTAAATGCTTTTCATGAAGCGCTAGTCACGTTTCTGACCTGTATAGAAGAACTGACTGAAAATCCGAATCGTGTTCCTCATCTGGTTTACTACCTCTCTAGGTTTCTAGCAGCTCCTAAACTGGAGAAAAGAAGGGGGATTGGGCATGGGCCTAGCAACCCTACTCCGGAATATCAATCAAACTGCTACAGAAACTCCAACGCACAATAAAAATAATCTTCAGAAGATGAAATTAATTCCATTCGGTGAGTAATTTCCATTTGTTTATTAGTATTACTTAATAATATTATCTCATAAAAGTTTATTGGTTCCTTCTAACTGGAAATAACCAAATATGGAACTCTGACAGTCCAACAAGCCAACGAAGAACACGTTGTACAAAAAATATTCAGAAGAAGAATGAGATGGACAGATCGTCGAGTGACATTACACGCCAAGCTGTCGAGTGAACAAAAAAGAAAGGGAAAACAACGAGTTGGACGTCTGTGGATGAAAGAATGTGGTCATGTGAGGTGAAAACAAAACCTCATGAGGCCAGCTCAAAGTGGAGATCCACTGCTGAAGTCCTATTGTGGTGAGAGCTGTCTACTAGCCAAATCGGTAGACAGTAATTGACGTCAATGTTTACGTTCTCAAGATTGGTAGTGAGAAAATATGAACAAGACTGATTCAAAAACCGACCACAGCAGACTTTGCGTAGGCGGATACAGTTAGCATATAGATGATCTGACATTCAAGAAACAGTCACAAAGAGATGAAAGATTAACTTTAAGTGAGAAACAACCAATCAGAAGACTGTGTTTGTTTGCTTAACTAATCTATAATAATGTACATGAAAATATATAAATATGCTTTGATTTCCTTAATAAACGATCTGTTGCCTGACCCTTGTCTTCTGTTGTTACACTATGCTCTACTCAGTATGCAAGGTGTAAATGAATAATCATAGTGAAAATAAACTGGGAATAAAATTTGAAATTACTGGTGTCTATAAGCGTCTAAAAATTATAGTTTTTTTGTTTTTGGTGAGCTGTAATCTATTCGATGAATTTCGAATTTTGTTTTGTTCAAGTTACTTTTAAATCAATGAAATAAAGATTTGAATATAATCATAGTTAGACATTTTATTTGCATGAATTTTCAGTAATTACAGGTCAGTACACTCATTTTTTGAGTTTGTACCTTTGAAATATAAACGTAACCTGGTAAAGTGTCTGGTTCATAGAGCTAAGTTAATCTGTTCAGACAACTGCCTCAATGAGGAGCTTAAGATTATTAAAGAATTACTTAGAAAAAATGGTTATCCGCACAGATTTATTGAGAAGAATATGAATTCACCACCAAGGATTTTCAGTATGGCTACAGTTCCGAAAAAACCAATGTTCATAAAATTGCAGTTCCTCGGTGACAACATCAGAGAAATCATAACACAGCGCTTGAAGAATGCAGTTAAAAGAGCTTATTATGCAGCAGAGGTACGTTGTCTCTTCAAAACCACCTCTATTCTATGTTCGAGAAATAAGGATAAACTACCTAATTTTATTTTTTATTTTTTTTTATTTTGATTTACAGCTTGATTCCACACCGTATTTTCAGTACAAGTGTGGAATTTTCAGCATGGACATGCCTCTTCTATGTGTGTCTACCAGTTTGACTGCAGCTGCGGAGCCAGCTACATTGGGCGTACAATTAGGCAGGTTCATCATCGTATTTCCGAACATCATCCAGCATGGTTAAGCAAGGGACAAAGAAGATCTATTCGTAGTTCTATTTTAGCACACCTTGTTGATACTGAGCATAAGGTTGATGTGAATACTGCATTTGAAATTATTCATCGCATTCCGACTAATCTTAACTTTGCTCTACGAGTTCGTCTTCTACAGACAGCTGAAGCAATCGGAATCCACCAGAAGAAACCAAGTCTATGTGTACAGAAGAAATTTGTACAGCCACTTTCCTTACCGTGGCCATCGTTACAAGACAGGACTACGTCGCCCCCTCCCCCTATTAAATTATAATTGTCCAAATTATTTTATTTTTATTTTGACCACTTCATCTTTAATTATGTGTTATCCTTGTAAAATTAATTTATTCTATCCATTTCTACCTTTTAAATTTGTATTGATTTTCTTCGTTAATTATCAACCCATTCAAATTTTGACACTGTTTAATTATTGTTAACAAACATATCACCACTTGTTTGGTAAATTGTTATGTATTGTAAAAATGCTATATATATTAGAGTAGAGCCAGAGATCAGGATCTAATTGAAAAGTAAATATTTCTTCGCTCAATCTTTCTGTTTTCAGTTCTATTAGTCAGGTTTGCAATGTAGCCACCAAGCTAAGGCTCGTCATTGCAGTACACTCTGAAATAATGTTAGATGCTTAGAGGTAATCGGTGGTAAGCTTCAAACTTACGTTTTTAGCTTGTTGGTACTCATCAGCAAGGTATATCTGAAAACTTAGAGGAATTCATCTCCCTTCTAGGATTTGAACCCTCGTTACCAAGTACTAAAGTCAGAGATGTAAATAATAACATGTATTTAGACCTTCGTTAATCCATGATTACCAGTCAATTTTCTTCATTGCAGTCCTAGAGAAGATTGGTCGTCAGCCCAGATAGCTCATTAGCAACGTCTCTAACTGTGTCAGTGGATGACGCAGGTTCGAATCCCAGGGGGAACATAAGTTCCTTCAAGATTTCAGATACGCCTGAAATGTAAGTTCAGGGCTTCCTGCCAATTGCCTTCAGCCTTTTTAGCACTACTTATATCTATTTATTAGTAGCACATATTAAACAAAAAATTCATTTTCATGCTTCCCAGCAGTATTTATATTTATAGCCGTAGGTGATTTATTTTTGGAAGTTAATAATCTACTAGGAGAAATTCAACTATATGAAAAGTCTTGGTTTCCATTACGTGTATGCAGCTGCAGTACTAGCCATCTATACATGAAGGGAAACAAAATCTATGTATTCAAAAATGTTCTGCCAACGCCTTTCATTCACTTTGGTCATAACAATCTTCTCTGTGGTTTATTTCATTCAACTTCACCTTGTCTCCAATTTTATTGTTATACTCATTGTCATCATCATCATCATCGTAATTTCGACTTTTCGACAGTATCTCTGATCCGCATTAAAGCTCTTAATGTCAGCTTACTCTTTCAATAACCTCTTGTAACTGGATAATTCATCCACTTCAAACCAAGCCCCAATTGTATTTATCATTTAAAGACTGAGTGATTGGTATATTTAGTGTCATTAAATTACTTCTTACCACTTTGTTGTTGAAAAGATGCATTTTTTCGTTATTTAAGTTTGTATTTATTTTTTCTAGTTCATGAATTAAGAACTAAACAACTACTGAGTGTTAATCAATACTGCTGATGTGTTATTAATTTCGTATCAATTCCTCTTGTTTAGGTTTCATACATAGTAACATTATAGTTTGCTATAATGTGCCGAAGTGCAGTCAAAAGATACACTTTCTTGTGGGTTTTGTTTTAAAATAATACAAAGTATGCTTGATTACTGTTACTCCCTTCAGTTCTGAGTGGAACATGAGCTTCAACAGAACGTCCCTATAACTCCATAATGGGTGAGATTTTATTTTGATAAATCACACAGTGTTGTACAGTTATATTAACTGATGACGTTTCGAGCACAAACTATTGCTCACAATCATATTAAGTTACTCACACAACTTTTTTCCTTCATTTATATTCATCTGTGGAATCGACTAGATATTGGAATAAAATTCAATATGAGATAATGTACATTTAGAAATAATAGTACGAGTGTTATTAATCCATTGCAATTAGATGGGAAATACGACGAGTGTTTTTATAGTCATAATAAGTTAATTGTTAGAATATTATGATGTGCTTGAATGGAAATAGAATTTTAAGACTATTTATCATCCTCTTCTGATTTGACTGGCGGTAATAATATCTTCCATATTTCTGGTATTTGCATTGAGTCACTTCTGTTGCATGTGTTGGATGTAGACTCGATGAATAAGGATTCCGTAATCAACCTCTCTCTCCACCCACCTATATTACTTTTTAGAATTTTAACCCTATCCCACCCTATTGTGTGTTTGTTTGTTAATGCGTGAAGTGCAATAGCTGAGCTTTTTTCTAAATTACTTATCTTTCCAGGGTCAATCATTTTTCCATTAGCTAAATTCTTATGTTCTGATAATCTGACTATCCCTGACCTACTAGTTTGACCTATGTCGTTGACTTAACTCACAGTCATTGTAGGGTATTTTGTAAATCATATTATTTTGTTTAATTGGGTCCACAGGGTCCTTCAACCTACAAATTTTGTCTCTGAGTGAGTTTGTGGGTTTGAATGCCACCATAATTCCTGCTTTATTGAGAATCCTACGTAGGGCCTCAGATGTCCCCTCCTTATATGGTATAACAGTAGAAGACTTATATTCTCTCTTATTTATGTTATTACTACTAGTTACACAATTATTTTTATTTTGTTTTTGGCCTTTATTGATCTTCTTAATGAATTTTATAGGATAATTATTCAACACCAACGCTTCTTCTATCTGTTTTATTTCATCATTTAGGTCCTTTTTTGTACTACTTATTTCTATGACTGGGTTTGTCAGGCACTTCACTGAGCCTGCCTTAACAGTTAACGGATGAGACGGATTAAAGTCTAAATATCTATTAGAATGCGTTGGTTTTCTATAAACACTAGTGTGTAGTTTGCCTTCTTCTATTCGTTTTATCTTACAATCTAACATGGTTAATTCTCCTTGTTCATTTTCTGATTCAAATGTGAATTTTATTCCTTCTACTTGTGAGTTTATATGTGTTAAGAGGCTAGAAATATGTTCTGTTTTTAACACTGTGAACGTATCATCTACATATCTCCACCATATTTTTGGAGTAGGATTAAATGTATTGAGAGCACTATTTTCCCAGCTGTCCATAAAAATGTCTGCTACAATAGGGGATATTGGTGATCCCATTGCTACACCTTCAGTTTGTCTATATATTTTGCCTTGGAACTTGAAGATAGTAGATGTGAGGCATAGCTGAATCCCTAAAATAATTTCTTCAATGGACAGCTTTGTCTTATGATTGAGTTCAGTATCCGCAGTTAGTTCTTTTTTAACTGCTTCTAAGGCCATATTGATTGGTATGTTAGCATAAAGACTGTTTATATCAAAACTGACCATTGTTTCGTCATTCGCTAGTTGAATGTTATTTAGTTTACTTTTCATCTCATATGAATTAGTTAATCTAGAGTTTGAATGATTTCTGATAGGGCATAGTTTTAGAGCTAAGTGTTTTGATAATTCATAAGTTGGGGTATTTCTAAAATCTACTATTGGCTTTATGGGGTATCCTGGCTTATGTATTTTAATAGTACCATATAATCTACTAGTGCTAGTGCATTATTAGTTTTAGGCATTAAATTACACCATTTTGACTCACCCAGTGACGGCTTCATTCTGCGTATTAGTTCTGCTGTAGATTTCTTAACTTTATTCATTATTGAATCTACAGGCTTCTTAATTTCCTCATGTGGACCCGTTTGAATATGTTCAATAACTTTTTTGATAGAGTCAGATTTATTCAAAACTACGGTAGCGTTTCCTTTGTCAGCTTTTGCGATGACAATATTTTTATCCTGTTTTAGACTAATTAAAGCTTCTCTTTCCGACTTTGTCAAGTTTGATTTTGCCTTCTTTTGATTTTTCAGGGTTAATGCACATTGTGCTCGAACCTCTTCTGCTGTTGTCTTATCTATTGAACCTAGTGCTACTTCTATGTTAGTAATGAAATCCTCAGGTTTTAATTTATTAACTGTTACATTGAAATTTAGTCCTTTCTCAAGTACTCAATGAGTTGACATTAGTTAGAGAACCATTGGAAAACCTGGGATTACTGGACAGCTGTTTTGTCCTAGTTCAGCTCATGATGAAAATCCTGTAACCAATCAAATCCCTACAAACCAACACTTGAATATCAATGAGATGCTCACTAGCGACTGGCCCTATTCAGGTAGGTAGTTGCCTGGGGTTCTAGTGAGAAGTCGTGACCAGTAGGGTGCAGCATGTCGGGTGTGAGGACAAATACTCACCGAAGACATTGGCCAGGGGTCGCGCTATGTCGTGAATTGGCAGAAGTTAGAATTCATGGACAGGCCAATGGATCGGGTCCCAGTGGCCTAATGGTATACGAGCTCGCCTTGTAACCGGAAGGTCCTGGGTTCGAATCCCGGTGGGTGCGTACTACTGAAGAGTCCCAAACTAGGACGAAACAGCTGTCCAGTACTCCCAGGTTTTCCAATGGTTCTCTGACTAATGTCAGCTCATGATGAAAATCCTGTAACCAATCAAATCCCTACAAACCAACACTTGAATTCTTTTAATTTCTTAAGGTTTTCCAACTCAGTGAAATGACATCACTTATCGGGTTAAAGGTTAACAAGCTGTACTTGAAGTGTGATTATCATTTCATCGATCATCTATAGGGTTGTGAATACACACTGATTACTTATATTAGCTTTCGAAGGGTTTTATAAAAGTTCCCCTACGAAATGACTTCAGTTTATATGTGTCAGTGTCTATTAGTGGAGACAAAAATATCAAACAAATGATAAATCAACTTCATAGGGAAGTTAGCTCTGATGATATTTCCTAGGAAGATGATAAAGCGTCCCAGTTAAATCAAAAAGCTCAGAAAACACAAGTGTACGAAATGAATTAAAAATTTAAAGCCTATTATGGGAATAAGTTCAGTAAATGAAGTTCATGATCTCGAGAAAAATATGAATATACGCGTATAAAAGTGATGTTATAATGATTTGCTTACAACCTGCTTACCTCTTTATTAAGATAATCTTGAAACGATTTCTGTTCACACGCCAGTTTAAGATTTTGTTCAGCTATTTTTTGATTCATTTCACGAGTTGATCTTTCTATTTCTCTTTCTAATAATAAACCCAACCTAGCTGATCTTAATCTCTGATTATCCCATTCTTCATCTTCTTGTTTCTGTCTTGCTAATTCACGCTGTAACAGAAACATTAAAATTTAATGAAAGTGTATTCTGTGAGCTATTCAATAAATTAAATACATATACTTCATTGTCAAATAATGATACATTACATTTTAAATTTTCATAGTGCCAAGTATAGCCTGATAAACTACCACGATAGTATCCATTATCTAGATTGAAGTTTAATGATATGACACAGACAAAATCAAATACATTGACAATCGTGGCTAAACACATTGATTTACTCGTCATAATGACAAATCAACCAAGACTTTAATAAATAAAGTTTGCCTACTTATTGGTATGTTAGTAGTCTGTTACAATTAGTGAAAATCTGGGGGGTGATAATTCCTGCATTATCTCACTAACTGTTAAGGAATTCCATTAGGTTTTACAGAACTTCACCGCACTCGTGAATGCCAAGGAAACGAAACAAGCTTCACCATGGAGTAGCATTATTACAAAATTTATGAATATGTATCAGTGGCAGCCTATAAAGAGTGGTGAAAGCTGAATATCAATCAATCCAGAACTCCATTTACAGTGGATGGATCAAGTAATTAGGATGATTAGTGTTCAGGAAGGCTACGATACCTCTGAGGAATACTTCACATATCTATCTTCCCATATAAATCACTGTGATAGACGAGTATACAAGTATTTGAGGAATTAGCACTTGATAACCTTTCTTTCACTTATACTGCGACTACATCTTCGGTAGCAAATCTGACGTATTCCTGTGTAGATGAAAAGATTCTGCCCGATTTTATACGTCCCATTGTTGATGATAGAAAAATTACACGTCCGTTGAACAGTGGAGCTATATATGATTGCTCGTCTACTATAATCTGAAGGCAGTAGTGTTAAGCACTTGAATACAATTTAAGGTATGAAAATTTCTAATATGATATTAATTAAAAACATATTAGTTAGTGAAGAGATGTCGTTTCCTAACTTCTCATCCATTTTATTCGCAGACGATTAGAAACCACTGCCAACAAAATATTTTATTAGTAAAAGTGAAGATAACGTGTCAGACTTTCTCATTCTCTTCGATATTCAGGAATAAAAACTACCTATTCATTTATTCGCTTGTATTACACATTTTGCTAGATTATTCATTTTCTTACAGTTAGACTAATGAAACTTAGATTTGACTATTTTCATTCCTTTGCATTCCGACTGGAACATAAGTCTTCAAGCTTGACCTCTCAAAGTTTCAGTAGTGATTATGTTATTGCGACAGGATGAGGCTGCTAGCCTCGCTCTAAATATTCCCTCTATATGTGCTTTACTACCAGTTAAGCGAGGCTAAGGGAATCGAAACCTGGACGACTTTTGTGGTTGGTGAGCATTCTACCACTGAACTGCCAACGCCAAAAAATGTTTTATAAAATCTGTAAGACCTAGTGATACCTCTTTTTCTTTTATTTGTTCTTCTTGAGCTTTGCGTATTTCTTCTCTCTGTTCTGGTGTCATACCCTTGTATCGATCTGGAATAACACGATGACTACCGAAAGCAGAGATTGCTTGAGCAGGATTTTCACTAAGAAAATCACCATATATTGCATTGCATATTTCAGTCATATTATCATCTTGTGTTTGTTTAGCCTTAAGAAGTGCTCTTTGATCATTTTCTTCTTTTAATAATTTATTATATCTTTCAAGTGCAACATTTATTGCTCGTCGACATTGTTCTTCAGCTTTTTGTAGTTCACAAGCACGTTGATCTAATTCACGCCGTTTGAGATCGTATAACCTGTTGAAGTGCAAATAAAAACAGTTAAAAGATAATATTAACATTTGCACAGTTTTAAATTACACGCTGACAAAATACAGAGTCTTCTGAACACCTTGAGCTGCAATCTGCGAATGTTAGGCATGCTATTCGCTCCAGCCAAATATAAGACGATGCTACAGGACTGGACTATATCGACTCCTAGCTTGGAAATAGGGGTAAAAGTGGTAGAGTGCCTCGACCACTTCACTAATTTGGGGAGTTGCATCAGCCAACGCCAGCGGGTTGATCGCTGATGAAATCTCAGCACGGATACAGAGGGCTAGTTGCGCATATGCCAGTCTACGCCGTCTCTGGCATAGACGTGGTATCCGGCTGGCTGTCGACTAATGGGCGTGTATACTGCTCAGCAGTCCGCTCCGTCCTCCTCTATTGCTGTGAGACCTGATCATTGAGAGTAGAAAACTTGAAAAGCCTGGCTAGCTGTCTTTGATCATAGGTGCCTGCGTTCTATCTCCCGTGATAAGTGGTATAGCAAAGTGAGTAATATTGAGGTTAGGCATCGGTGGAGTGCTAGGCAAGGAGGGGAAATCAGTCGATCAGGTTGTGAAGTTACACCTACTGTGATGATTAGGACATGTATTACGCATGTCTAGTCATAGTATTCGTCTACGGGTAATGTTAGTTGATATAGGATGGATCAGGTTATAAAACAGTTGGCAAGTGGTAGTCAAACCAGAACATGGCTTCATCAGTCTATAAAATCCACAACGGTTAGTTAAAGCCACGTAGGAAAATGTAGACTTCCTGGTTGCGGTCCTCAGGACGGTAAACAACAATGGCTGGAGACAATTGGTGATATGGTTCAAAATCCTCGTTCTCAATGGCTGACGCAGATGCATCCACTCCTTGTGACTTATAATACCCAATAAAACTACATTGTTGTTCGATATCACTATTCTTTTTGCCTCATATCTCTGTTTACTGTCTCTATTTTGCGTTTCTTTTTACTTTCTTCTTCTGTGTATGTGCTTTGTGTGTGTGTGTTGATTGAAGTGTGGCGACTCGAACTGCTGCACATCGGTGCAAAGTTCCATGCTAAAACCAGTCAGTCACAGAGACAGTTTCAAATCAAAAATTCTTTTTGCTTATTGGAATAATTGAAGAAGTGACTGATATTTATCCTGAGTTTAAATGATAATTGATAAGCTCAATAAATGATTCATTTGCTTGAAAAGCAGAGAATATCTATGCTTCTGTTTAGAATAATAAACGGAAGTAGAAATTAGCATATTCAAATGGCACCACACACACACACACTTCATGAAATAAAACCAAAGGAATGTTTCTTTTCAGTGACTTCATTCTCTAGGCGTATAATCGTATTTATATTACAGAAGAAAAAGCATTAAGTGACAGACACTAAACACTGCTCAGTCAATACACATGTGATAAGAATAAAGATAATTATTAAGATAATACTTAAGCGGGTAGAGTTGAAGTAGATGAATTACAAAAAGACAGTTAAATGAGAACAAGGTGATTTTGAGTGAACAACTGTTTTCGATAAATTCTTCCTCAGGCTCTAAAATTATAAATCCATGAATATTATAATACAAATAACCATTAAAGGCATGTGAAAGTTATGTCAGAAACTGATAGTTCGTTCGAACTATTGTGGTGAGAGCTGTCTACTAGCCAACTGGTTGACAGTAATTGAGGTCAATGTTTATGTATCAAATATTACTCATGTTGTGGTGAGAGATGGTTGCTAGCCAAATTGGTTGACAGTAATTGAGGTCAATGTTAGTCATGTGAAAACAAGGTCAAGATGGACAGGCGGATACAGTCAACATATAGATGAACTGACACAGCCACAAGAGATGCAAGGTTAACTTTGTGTGAGAAACAACCAATCAACAGACTGTATTTTTTACTAACATTAACTTACAATAATGTACATCAAAATCTATAAATACGTGTTGATTTTCCGTAATAAACGTTCTATTGCCTGGCCCTTGTCTTCTGTTGTTACACTATCACTTTATACCATAAATGTATCTTGATACAGTTTACGATATAATTTCCACATGCGTTTAATGGCTATTTGTATCATAATATCCATGGATTTATAAATAATTGTACAGACTGAAGAAGAATTTATCGAAAACAATTGTTCACTCAAAATATCTTATTCTGATTACAGTTAAATAAGTGAATTGTACTAATTGCGTCAGGTGTCACCAAAAGATTCGAAGTGAGATGGTGATAACAATAAAGAAGGCGAAGATGCGAAGTAGAATGAATTCAGTCAATATATATATATATATAATGATTTTCCTGATTGTAGTAGACTGGATAATGCGACAAACAGCGGGCAATGAGGAAACAGGCATAAAATGGACCCACACAAAAAACTTGGAGGATCTGGACTTCGCCGATGATATATGTCTGATTTCCCACAAACTGGAAGAAATGCAAGCGAAAAGCAACCAGTTGGTAGAAGAAGCATCCGGAGAAGATAGGACTTCAGGTGAACATAGAGAAAACAGAGGTGATAAGATTCCTGGGCAACACCACAAACAGCAACAACAACAACAGACAACAATCAGCATAAATGGGAGGAACCTGAAAGAAACAACCTCCTTCACCTACCTACCTGTGAAGCATCGTTTCAATTACAGGCGGAACTGACGAGGATATCAAAGCAAGAATCGGAAAAGCCAGAAAAGCTTTCACTACTGTCGAGTCTGTGTGGAGGTCAACAGCACTCAGCATCAAAAAGAAGATTCGGATTTTCAACTCCAATGTGAACTCCGTTCTACTTACTACACGGATCAGAGACTTGCACTGCGCGTCATAAAGAGCATCTCAAACAAACTACAGAGCTTCATTGACAGTTGTCTTCGCTCAATACTCAAGATCAGATGGCCAGCCAGAAAAGATCAGCAACAGCGATCTCTGGGAGCGAACCAACCCAGAAGGAACCAATTGTGAAACAAATAGGCAGGAAGAAATGGAGATGGATTGGCTGGCCATACTCTGAGGAAACAATCCATCAAGTGACATCACTAGACAAGCCATTGCTCGAGTGGAACCCGAAAGGGAAGCGGCGAGTTGGTCATTAGTGCGAGTGTGGGTGACTTGGAGGAGGTCATGTGAAGAGGAGATGAAAACGTGTGGGCAGACATGGAGCCAGGTGAAGACTCTAGCAGAGAACCGAAGGCAATGGAGACGCACGGCTGAAGCCCTATGCTCCTGTAGGAATTAAAGGATACAATAATAATAATAATGATGTATAAATGCATGTGTGTATATAAAAATATATACATATATATATTTAAACGGCATGTCTAAAACCATGGCAAATAAAGAGGTTTAGCTAAGCATTTTTCATACATAGTTTAGGTTTTTGTCCATGTGTAGCTAGAGCTTCTGCTATACATAAGTGGAGAGAACATAAACTTTTAGAATGACTGAATTAGGCCATGTAGATAAACTAAAAGGATAGATCACATCGTGCTATAGACATAAATACAACTGTTCAGCTTCAAAATAAACTCTTTGTAAGGAAGTATTTCTTCGTTGAACAAAAACAGTTTTATTTGTTCAAGTCTAAAGTCTTATCATGAACTAACTTCAATTACAGTATCGCTGAAAGCCACAGAGTAATAGACAGTTACTTCGTCCTGGTTTGGGAATCTTCGGCAGTAAGACCCCATGATTCCATGGAGGATCGAACACAGGACCTTTAGGTTACAAGGTGAGCTCATTTACCATTCATCCATTGGGATGGAATCCAATAATCCATCGATCCCGACTCCTGTAAATTAGAAATCTATAGCTGAACGGTCAACGAGCTTGCCCTGTGACCTGAAGGTCAGAGGTTCGATCCCCAGTAGTTTCCCAGGTGCCTACTATTGAGGAGTCCCAGTCTAGGGCGACATAGCCACCCAGTACTCTCTGGCTTTCAGTGGTTTTCTGATTGAATTCAGTTTGCGATCAAACCTGAAATCAACCAAATTCCTGCAAACAACCACTAGAAAAGTAAACATATCCTTGTTTATATGGTTACCAAGGTGAAAATTACCGGCTGAATGCTTTTCATTCAAATCATACAAAATGTTCACATCACTGTTGTTAAAAGCCTAAGTAGGTGAAACAAACGGCAAGGAAAAATGGAAGGTTATAATTTCACTAGTGATATGAAGCCAGTTTTCCAGTAAAAGTCTTGTTATCACTTAAAAATTAAGAAAAATGTAACGAACTTGTTAGATGGTATTTTTTCATTTACTCAGACTGAACACTACCTTCCCAACATTGTAGATAAACACTAAATTCTATTAAATTTCAGTACGCTAAAAAATGGCAAGTTGGTTATATCATCTCATAGTTTAAATACAACGAAAATCCCCATTCAGACATTTAGAAGATAAAAAGACTGAGGTAATAATACACTTTCCGATAACTTCCTCATCTAGCTCTACAGTTATGCATACTTAATATCTGAAAAATAATTGCTATTGACAACAATGATGTTTTTTAAACAATATCAAGTTGTTAAGATCAATAGACTACAGTTTAAAAGCATGTTAGTGAAATTTTAAAAACATTAATGTTGTCAATTACAATTATTTTTCTTAAATATTGTGCATATAACTATAAAACTTAATTGGTAGATTATCGACAAGAATAGTCCTTTCTTATTTCTTGTTTTCTTCTCACAGTTGCTAAGACAACTGAGTTTTTCAATACACTGTTAAAAATCTAATGGCAAAATTTTTGTTTCAAAAAGTACTTGATGTTTCATTGGAATAAACCTATATGCAAATTCAAAGTGGTATCTTGTAATATTTTCTAAAAAGTGAATGACATTCGGTTCATTGCAAACTTAATGATACTATTACTCATCATGTAGTCTTTATAGAGGTTTGACATATTGTGATGGTAATTTATTCCTTAAAGCTAACTGTTTTCGGTTGTGTAATACTTGGTATTGATAGGTGACCTATACATTCCATCAAATTTATATAGCCGAGGATATCCCCTCCCTCTCCCCTCCCCTAAAAATTCACTTTACCAGATTCAAAGATCTCAAAAGTTAAAAACAGGCTGCTGAAATAGTTTGGCAATTTTAAGTGCCTGAAACCATTAGAATATTATTTTCCCCTCAAGGAGGTCAGCTTCAAATGAAATAGAATTCACCAAAATTCATGAATTCCTTTCTTAACTTGATTTCGCTCATTGCTGAAAGAGTCCCTAGGCGCATTCGCCCTATATTTACACAAGTATGCACATAAAATTATGTTGCAGAATATGAAATCTGGTGCACTTTACAAGCACCATATTATTTTACACGTGAGGCTTGAAACAACGTTTTCCCATTCTAGTGGCGATTTCTGAAATCAGGTAATGCTGATAAGTTCAAGAAAGAATGTGACAACCTCACTATAATATTAAAAGGGCGCTGTTATTACCAAAAATACTTGACCAATACGTTGACCTAATCTAATATCAGGAAAGCTAATATTAGAGGCATTAAAATTTCATTGGCATAAGAATTTTAAAACAAGCAATAAAGGTTAATAAAGCAGGATTTAGTGAATTCACCAAATTTCGGTAGAACTCGTCAGCTGAATACTCTACATACACGGATATATATACTGTTGAAATTACATTGGGAGATATAGGACTGATAAGTAAACAAACTACACTGAATTAGTCATGCAGAAAGACAGGTGCGAATGTTTTTCCAAGTCATGTTCAATTAGATAAGGGGAGAGAGAGTATGAGAAATCAGAATTAAGATAAATTGCATTACGCTTCAATTACATCACTTAGATAAACAATTGGACATTAGAGAATTTAACAAGAATTGCAACCAGAAGGATGTCAATAGTAATACTTATAATAACAATAATGATAATAATAAGAGTTTTGAAGTGAGTTAGGATAATCCTACTGATAAAGGATAGTTTTGAATGAATCAAGAATAATAATAATGATAATTATTATGAGAGGTAGAATTATAAGTAAAACGTATTACCATGGTAGATTCAGAGTCACGACCATCTCCTTTTGTACACAGAGACCTGGTTTATAAACTCGAATTGCACAAGCCTCTGCAATTGCAAGCATCTTCTTGTTTCTTTGTCTGCTGACAATAGTGAATGACTTGACCGCGTCGATATCATGTCCGTAATCCACAAGATGCTTTGTTATTGAGGATTTTGGCTATTTGCACTCAGCTGTTTTCAACCATCAGAAATTGTTGGTTGACGAGAACGGCCTGAAGCTATATGTTGTCCATTCAAATACCTGTAAATCGAATTAACTTGTGGTTCCTTTCTTAAGATTTCCTACGGAGAACAAACAACTACCATCATCTATATACTGTAAGGGGTAACGAAATCGTACGGTGTACTCTAAAATTAGTGCGTCATCAACCCCCTTTAGTTATGAGTACTCCTTAGTATGCATCTTACCTCCACTGCAGCGCAGCAACCTGAATGTGTTTTTCTTACATATACACTAGCATGGAAAATGACAAGCTTTCAACGATCTGACCAGTAGTTCGGTAGTAGAAATGACGAAGAAGCCTTATTAGGCTTTTCATCTAATATTTGTGTGTAAAAGTGGCAACTGGGTGTATAATTAATACTGGAAACACTGACGACAATAGTGCAAGTTCCTCAGTGTTCACCGAAGAGATGTATTGAGGTCTGTTGTCTTTCAGTCATGATAAAAATCAATATTTGGTTATCCGGATTGAGTATACCCTACCATCTGCTTCACTGTTCACTTCGTGTTCGCATTAGAACTGTCACTTGAAAGAGGAAAGTTATTACACGGCTAGAACGGTGCTATATTCACTACTACTTTCACAGAATATCATACACTAGATTTGTCAACTTATAGGTCTGTAAGCCTTATCACCTTTGCTTTTTTTGTCTCTAAGAAGAATATTAAGAAACATCACTGGAGTTTATTTATAAAGCAACTTTAAATTGCTTTATAAATAAACCTTTACCAGCGTTTATGATGGGTGTTTGACCAATTAGTGTAGAACTCTTGGTCGATGTATATGATTTTGGATTCCACACTCTGGTAAAATGTAAAATATGTGAGGAAAGGAATGTTATGATGCTGCAAAAGGCGACAAGAAGAATGTATGTTTGAGCAAAAGTCGACAGCTTCGGTTCATATGTGGAGTCTGGAACAGTATGACTTTACAGTTCTTTTGTTAGATGCTATATTGGGAACATTGTACACAACTTTTGTTTAAAACGGTCCTTTGTAAAATACAGATAACTCCGGAGTGCAATCTAAAATACAGTGTGCTGCTCGAAGCTTCACCTTCTCACTGGTCCATACTATCTATTTACTTCATTATTAACCGTGTTGTATACTTCTGACTTTGTAGAAACCTCTCGCCCTCATCCGAAGACTGTTCTATAATCAGTGCACAGCTTTTACTGGTAGAAACGACTCCAGCAGTTACCACTTTGGTGGATTATGTTATTAATTTGTAGCAACGGACTTTAACTTGTAGTGACCCGTTTTATTACTCATAATCGTACTATACTTTCATTGTGTAATTGTACTTTCATTTATTTATTACTCTAAATCTTGCATGTTAACAATTGATACCTTTTGTACTCGCTCGATTTTTGAATTGTTGATTGCTGCAATAATACACTATCGTATTCCTTCGCAAGTGCCTTTTGAATTACGTTGCGAATGTCGAGTAATCGCAACGTTAGGGCACAATTGTAAACGCGAGGAAGTATTAGGATATGTGTATACGCTAGTTCAATCAAAATATAGAATTCAACAAACTGTATAATCAAGTAACCATTAATTTACACAACTCATTAACTGTAATTTTTATGGTACACTGTTACACTATCATTTCATTAAGTTGGACTTTTATTCTAATATTTGTTCTGTTAATGAGCTCAACATAAATTCCCATACGCATGTCACTTGCAGTTTTTGACCACTGACTTTCAGAATTCAGGGGGTCTCAATCAAATAATACGTCCCCACGTGGGCTTTCTACCAACAATCTGTGATTTCTTCGACTGACAACTTGTTGTAACCTGATAACCAATAACTCTCAACCTATTCCGAATTCACCTTACACTACTTATAAAAAAGCAGACGTTTGGATTTGTAATATGTATCTCAGCTAGCTCAGCTGATAGATCAAGATAAATTTCCTTCTACTTGATAAATCGCTAGGCTAAATAAGGATGGCTCCGATCTGAAGATAACAAAAAAATCTATCAATCTAATCTGTCTAGATTTTATTAGACTTTTTGATACTGCAACACATACTGGGTTGTTCATGAAAGTGCAAAGGTTTGAAGTCCCTAAAAACCTTGTTATCTAGATCACAAAAGCTCATAGTTGGTAAGAGACGAAGTGCAAGTAGTAAATCCGAAATCTTATACCTGATTCCACTGCAGAATCTAGTGAGAAAGAATGCGGCTTTTAATGTATTATTTTTTCCTATGCGTTTACAAATAAAGAGATACTAGGAAACAGGAGTTGCCTTTATTTCCCACAAATCAGCCCAAAAAGAACTACTTTAGCCATTATTTTGTGACAGCGAAAAAAACAATATAGTCTGCTCACTTCCTGTTTCATATGAAAAATAACTTGTAATTTATTACAGAGTCGCAATTTCTTCTGCCAAGACATAATTACGTTGAGGTAATCAATATGATAAAAAGGTAACCATGGGAGGTATTCATTTTGCTTGGTAGAATTTCACAGTGAATATAAGCATATAAAATGAAAGAGATATAAAAGTGTTACACAATCTACCTGTCTGCTTCTTTTTGGGCCTTCTCAGCTCTGTTTCTTTCCTCGATTTGCCTATCGAACCAATCTTGCATTTGTTCTCTTTGATACTTCATTCTAGCTTTTAAGTTTAGATCCTCACCATCAAATTTTTGGAGAGAGGCAACTCCACATCGAGGATCATCATCTGAAACACGAGCTGGACGGTCTAACTTTAACGCATTCGGGTCATAAAGGTCGAACTCCCTCCTTGACTCAGGTTGTTGATGGAGAGATCTAAATTCGTTGAGACATTTTGCAATTTCCCTTTCATCTCTCTGCTGACGCTTCTCAAGTATACACGCAATTTTGTCGTTACGAACGGCATCAGCATCTAAAAACCATATGGTTTTGAAGAAATAATGTACCATAAGCCAAATCCCTTTCTTTTTCACGGAGTTCTTGTCGTTTTCTTTCTTCTACCTGGTGTTTTAAAGCCTCCTCATCTATCTGCCATCAAGGATATTTCATAATATTAAAAACAACTTACCCCTATCTGACGAGTCCGTGCATCGAATATGCGGGCCTGGCGTTCTTTTTCTTTTCTCCTCCTGGCTTCAATAACTGCGGCCTCTTTGGTGTCAATCGGTAGATCTAGTTTATACATTGGTCATAATAGACTGAAACTTTTGAAAGCGTCCCACCTCGGTTGTTATGGAGATACTGGTGAACAAAAACTACTGCTGTGTTTAAAAATCAGACTACCAATTTATTACATATTTCTCGAAATTTAATTTATTTACGCATTATTCTCATATCAATTTGCAGAAAATAGTATATGATATAAAAACAACGAGTCTTTTGATGATATTTGTTGTACCATGAAATTCCAAAATACTTATTTGTGTAGATTAGTAGAAGTTATACCCCAAAAACACTAAGCTCAGTTCAAAGATATGAAGTGGAACTCCCTACATAGTGTCAGTGATTGCTTAGCTGAAGTGCAGCTAATTGAATGCTTGCTGTCAACTAGGGATTCTGGAGTGCCGACACACCTGAATTGAATTGCTGGCCTGAAACTGAAGCGCTTACTCGGTTTTCCTAAGTGACCACCTCTCATTTGGATGCTAGTAGTAAGCTGATCAATATTTGTAATTAGATGACTCTAGCAATTTTAAATTCATAGGGTTCACAACCTTCAGAATATCAAGAGCATCAAAAAACCAACTGGTTTACTTGGTAAATATTTCATTTCAGTAGACACCTGAGTAGAATCTGTCCTGGAGTATTGTTCGATAGTTTCAGGCTATGTGATTAATCAAAAAGTGAATTCGTCTAATGATCCAGATGTGCTCCTACTCCAGGTTACGATAACTGATGACAACAGTTCGCCTTATGCGTCCTGTGTATATGAAGACTGATACCCAGTCTTCAAGTATTTCATCTTCCCAAAAGTAGACTCTGCACCATCGTAACTAGCTTTCATATTTACCAACCCTTAACTGCATTCTAAGGAATGAAGACTACGCGGGAGGTATATTAAGTCACCAAATACCAGTTAACGCCTGCTTCTAGGACATAAGATTTTTGTAGTTGCGGCATCGTCTTTCGAAGTTTCAGATGAAGTGGACCGATAAGGGTTAAAGCATCAATTTCACTTCTGTTCCACATAAAATGCGTTTTATTTACCTAGAAACCACACGAATAGCATATTATAATAATGTTTGTAGCTGCCAGCTTCTGGACCGTAGCGATGCACTGATAAAGCGTTTTCGTAAGGAATTACATTCTTCACTTATAATATCCTGAAGAGCCTAACAAGTCACTTTTCCCTTACAAATAGTGTCTTCTTGATTTGCCACTCATATTTCAGTCACTGCTAGCTAATATGGCTAATAATTTCTCAGCGAATACTGAGCATTCCCTCCACTCCCGCATCATCTACTTAACGGCTTGACATATTATGGACGTTGGTTGAAATTTCGCTTGATAAATATTTCTGGTGGATAAGTTTTATAAAAATTGTGTTTTATGTTTCCTGGAGTGATAGAATTCTCATTTTTTGACAAGTCTTGGTGGTTTCCGCGTCATGGGATCTGGCGGCGACACACTATTAGCATACTGGTTGCAATGATTTGCGTTTCAGGCGAACTGTCAGTGTTGCTATAACGAGCAAGATAGGGTAGTTGAAGAGTAATATCATCTACACAAATACTTTTCGGCACAGTATCATTCAATAAAGACCTAATGTCTCAGGGTATTAAAGTAGCTTATTTTCGTGTAAGGAACAGTACTATTTGACAGATGAATGCTATCACTACATGGACATCACGTATAAATGATAGCGGAATCTTCTGTGGCAACTGCACTGGTTGGTGCAGTGTAATATGCATCAATGTATAAAAAATATCCTGAATTTATTAATATTGTGCTATTGTCTGCTTAGCTGATTGCCAGGCTAACAGATGTAGGTGGTTTTCACATACCTCGCGGTACGTTCGAATTTGGTGACACTTTTGCACGTGTTTTCGCTGATATTCATTTTTCAGTTCTGCTATATTATCACAAATAATAATGGGCAAAAACTCTAACAAACGTATTCTTAGGAACTCTAATAATCTAGAAAATAGCTTAAGCTTATCTAGTAACGTATTATCACCCCTAAAATCAGCTATAATTAGTAGTTCACCCAATACAAATACCTCCAACATAATGCTAACCCCTGTAGTACAGGTGGAAGATATCCTGTCAGCAAAGGCAGAGATTAGTAACTTAGTCTCTATCATAAACGACATGCAGCTACAAATAAATGACCTTAGGACGAAACTAAATCTACTTGACCCGGTACCAGAAACAATCTTCCATCTTAAAAAAGAACTGCGAGATCTCACTTTCCTAAAACTGTTTAAATTGAAGACTAAGCCAACCGATGCTGAAATGGAACATGTTAAGGAGCTAGAGAACGGTATGGACTATCTATCGAGCGAAGTTGTTAAGAGACTTGCTTCTAAACAGAACGCCATAGTGTACAACATACCTGACAATGAGCCCATAAAGTCGGTTCAGCACTCCTTGTTAAGGGCTGCAAACCTCTTAAGTACACCCTGTCAGTGTATCAGACTAAATAAAAAAGAGTTAAACCGCACATGTCCCATACTTTTCAGGTTTGACAGCTGTATAATAGCAGAACAATTTAGGAAATCTGGGGATACTTTGGCCTCCACCACGAAATTCAAAAATGTTAAGATAGTCTCGGACAAAACCCCCAGCCAACGACAGGTAGCTAAAAATACCTTAGATACGAAGACGATTATACCACAAATCATGAATAGCATCAGTGCCAAAGTATCGAAGGACACTGAAGCACAAAGTGACACTTGCATTGTACTAGGTGAACAAGCGACACGCGAAGGTGAAGGGAAACCCAAAAAGGGCAGTAACACTGGAATGAGTCTCAAAGTTCTTGAGAACACTCCTAGGAAATCTACCGACCCCGCACATGAGGTAGACATAGATGCTTCTGTGACAGATAACCTACAAATATCGGCAGATAACACTGCACCCAGGGCCAAGCAAGGTAATCTCCTTGTAAAAGCTGAAAAGAAGTCCCCTAAAACCAGGGTCTCTCCACAGGCGTCCACATATCTCCCTTGTGACAAGCCCAACAAGCAGCATGTAAGCCTAAAAAAGAGCTATGCACGCATTACGGCAGGTCCCATAAAGGAGACGGAACACGAGGGTGGAAGTGCTCTTCGTCGAACTAAGGGTGGTAGACAAACTGTGGATGACAGACTATACGAGGTCAAAACTAACAGCAAATATAGCTCTATCCACACAAAATCACACTCTAGCAGACACGCAAGAGGAGCCGAGCTGATTAAACAACAGGGTCAGACCCACGATTTCCGTAATAGCCGAGGTTGTAATATGCCTATGGGCTCATATAACCTGAGAACGGGACCCAGAATAAATAATCAAAACACATGGGCTACTAGACGGGACACCACTAGGTACCATATGGATGGAAATGCATACTCGGACCCTCATAGTAGCTATGTAAATCCCCATCAGCATAACGGGTATAGATTGAATCACGGTCCTTCTATGTACATGCACGAAATGAGTCCACAAATGTACAACTGCGAGAGACTTGGCACGCACTACCCTCAAAACAACCTAGAAACAGGTTATTTCGGCCCTGTAAATAACAATCTGAATAGTGAAACAGATTATCTAATGTCAAGGAATGATTCCAGATACCCACGTAATGAGGCCAGAAACCAATATATGCAACAGGATTATTTTCGGTTGCAGCAAACAATAGCCCCTCTTGCAGCACAATTTGTTCAGGGAATAGTAGACACACTGACAATGTCTCATCTGAGAATCCCTCGGAACATAACATAGGCTACCAGGAGTTAGGGATAGTAACAAGAAGACCCACTAATTACCCTCCCAACAAAACTGGTTTTCTAAAAATTATGCTCTTAAATGCTCGATCTCTTTTTAACAAAATAACTTCCCTTCGCAGCTTGGTATACATGAGACGGCCAACACTGATTCTGGTAACTGAAACTTGGCTAACTAATGATATACCTGACACAAAGCTGATAATTGATAACTATGACATCCACAGGAATGATAGAGTGGACAAAAGAGGAGGCGGGTGTCTAATATATGCTTCTAAATCTACTGACCCCAATACTTTTACAAACCTAACTATCGACAAACTCCCAGAATCTAAGTGGATAAGCATCCACACGAATGAAAATAAAATTCTAGTGGGATGTATATACAGAGCCCCCAGCAGCCCTAAAACGACTGATACGGTTATCGCAGAAATACTAGAGCATGTACCTACCCTGGAATTCGACTATAAAATAATTTGTGGCGATTTTAACCTCCCCGGAGTGAACTGGGATACCTGCACTGGACCTAGAATCTATGACGAGCTCCTAGAAGCTATAGATGTAGGAGGATGGAAGCAGTGTGTACGCCTCCCAACACGACATAACAATATTCTCGACTTAGTCCTCTGCCACAAAATAGAGCCGATCTCGATAGAGGTGGGGGATAAACTCGACAACAGTGATCACAACATACTGTACTGCACCCTACCTCTTCAACTAATAACTAAACACACACCTAAAAATTCCCCGGTTCACTATCAATATAGGGACTATAGAAATGCCGACTGGGAATTCCTACCAACGCTCTTGAGAAGCTCTGACTGGGATGAATACTTTACCAATGATAACTTAGAAGTAACACTTGATACCTTCTACAAGACGGTCAGTTCGGTAAGAGATACAATCGCACCCCTAAAGTCTGCCTTAAGGACACCAACTCTTTTCATAGACCGCAAAACGCGATTAAAACTAAGGAAATTGAAAAGGAAATTTTATTTATATAAAGAATTTAGTGCATTACACCAGATACATGAAACATTTAAAAATCTTGAGCAGAGACATAAAATGAAGGCACAACTCGAGGAAAATAAAGCCCTAGGGGGCACCTCTAAAACTCAGGAACTCTGCAAGATCCTGCAAAAACGACTAAACAAGGGTAAAGAAAATAATGTTGGCCACTTGGAGCATGAAGGTATAATTTATGATGATCCCCAGATTATTTGTGAACTCCTAAACCAATGGTTCTCCAATAACACCAAAGCGCATCCGTCTCCAATCCTCGATATAACCTGC